CCTTTATAATCAATTTTAAAAAGATCACATTCTCATTTCAGAGCACGAGCCAAAAAAGAATCGAGCACACATCGACGAAATTCTGAATTTAAAAAATGGATCTCATACAGTTGAGAAGTTTACTGTTCATGGTAATAAAATGGATCTAATATTGTTATGTATTTTATTTTCGTAGAAACAAATTACAGGTCTTGTTAGGGCATAAAGCCAACCCAAGAATGAGAAACTGAAACAACTAAGGGACCTTGCCTCAATAACACAAAAATTTGAATATTTGATTTAGCACTAGCCCCTGTATAAATTATCTCCACACTGACCATCTTTGCTCATAATATACAGGCTTAACATTTCATTTCATTTTTATATTGTCCACCCCATCACTTTCTTTAACATTTTAGAATAAAAAAGTAAAAAAAAAAACGGTTTGTTTTGGTCATTACAAAACATCTTTTGAAATATTTCTGTTTCTTATCCTGTCAACACCTTGATATGTTTTACATTTCAGAATGGAGGGGAAAAAATCTACTCGAATTTCAGTTTATCGCTTAAATTATTCTAGGCTATAATAAGCAGATATTTGTGAGTTATAATATGGGCAGTCTAATGTAATATTTTGTAAAATGAAATTGAGATTTGTCTATCACTTCCGAGCAGTGGCGGATTAAGGGGGTGCTAAGAGGGCTGCAGCCAGGGGCCCCCGATTTTTAGGGGCCCCCAAATTTCCTTATTAAATGATAGTAGATTTCCCTTTAAAGCTAAATTGTTGTTTTTTTTTTTAATTTTTTTAAACTATAAATGCCAATGTATTAATATTCGAGAACACACTTTAGTTTAAATAGCGGTCGAGTTCTGACACATGAGTCTATGATTGACGCCTTTTGAAAAATGCACAGCACTTGAAAGTTATTTAGTCAGATAGCGTCATATTGTGTAGCGAGGTGGTAACAAACATAAAATAATATAAATGTTAGGCATAGGGTCTACATTCTGAATTAGGTCTCACTAGCAAGCATCCAGACAAGCAACATTATTGACCAGCCTTAACAATCAATGAAAAACTACCTGGCCGTTTTTGCTTACCCACTACACTACTAAGAAATGCATGATAGATGCTTTACATTTTTGTCATTAGAAATGATGTTTTGGATATAATTTTTTTAGTTACAGGACAGTGGCGTAGCGAGGTCGGGTGTCACCCGGTGCGGCACTTAATGGTGTCACCCCCCCCCCAGAGGCATAGAGACCCTTCCCAGGGACAAAGTTTCAAGTTTTCGATTTGCACCCCCCCCCCCCCTCAAACTTTCGATTTGCACCCCCCCCCTCGAGTTTTCGATTTGCACCCCCCCTCAAACTTTCGATTTGCACCCCCCCCCCCTCGAGTTTTTCTCTATATATTTTGCTATTTTTTGCCTTGGTGTCACCCCCCTAAATGGTGTCACCCGGTGCGGTCCGCACCCCCCGCCCCCCCCCTCGCTACGCCCCTGTTACAGGATATCCTGATCTAGTTATTTGGATTAAAACTCCTTAGATTAATATCTTTGTTGCCCATCAGGACCTAGTGAGCATAGGGAATATTAGGTTCACATATTTAGTTGTTCTCAGGAAATGAGACATTCTGATCAGCTCATGATTTATGTCTAGCTTCCTTTAGTAGTTTTAAAATTTGAGATTGATCTAGGTACTCGTCTGTGTTTGGTGTTCTTGGATATGAACCTGGGTTTAGAGCTCAGGACTTTTGGGTCAGCAGTCGTGAGTTCTACGCCCTATTGTAAACTCGAAACTTTTAATTAAAAAAAAAATAAATCAAAATATGCCACAAACAGTTAGGCGGCCTAATTCATTAGCTTGTAATTTCGTTGGCGTCAAGATAGATTTATCGTAAGAATATAAGAAATCATCAACTTATGGATCTAAAACTTTAGACAATTGTGGAAAAGTGCGGACGGCGTATAGGTGGAGGTGGGGAGGGCTATGTAGACATCACAATCATTGAATTATACTCTGTATTGTTTATAACAAAAACAAAACTACATAAACAATGTAGGCCTAAAAACAAATACGGCAGTACCCGTGTTATTTTAACCCTACTCAATGGGCAGTTATGTCGCGGCAAAAAGGCCCTATAATAAGGTAACCGACATTTAGGCCTAAATTAGGCCTAGACAGAAACAGGCCAGGGATGGCGTTCTTTAAAGGGCGACTGTGGAAATTCAACTTTCTTGTATGCCTTAAAATGGATGACACCTAAGAGGTTGGAGGTATGGTTTTTTTATGCTTATGCTGTGCTTACTAGTTTTATTTGGGCCTAGTTTAACCTCTGTATGTAATTAATCATTTCTTACATAGAGTGGTTTGAAATTCTCTTTTTTCTTTTCGCGTCTGCATGCAAACAAGTGCCAAAAGTCTTTATCGTCTGTTCTGTAACGACATTATAATATTCTCATGGATATTTATATTTGTTCAATGTTAGTGTGCATTTCCAGCTTTCTCACGCCCAATATAAATTCGTGAATGACTGTTCAATATCTATCGTGACACGGATATACCGGCTGAGTTTGACTCCCATTAGCCAGGGAGGTCAATTCCAACAAACTGGCAAATAGTGGACTGAATCAGTCTCACGAAGGTGTTGGTTTGAAACACTGCATGTTGGTCGCTTATTCATCCGTAGGCTCTATCCAGGCTTTACTTCTCTCACCACCAGCCGCGGGATGTCGTCCTCAGTGTTTCTTCCAGATTTTTTTTCTCCGGGGTGCACTTGGGGGGATGGGCGGACAACAATTTCCCCCCCGAAGAGATGCCTTAAAGAAACTCTGAACATAATTGACTGCTTTTTAAATTAGCAGTTTTGTAAATATCTGTGTCAAATGTTCCTATAAGTTAAAACAATCCATGATTTTCTAAAAATAGTATATATATATATATATATATATATATATATATATATATATATATATATATATATATATATATATATATATATATATATCAGGGGCCCCCCAAAAATGTTAAGCCTGGGGCCCCGCCCAAGCTTAATCCGCCCCTGCTTCCGAGACTACTCGACCTCTACTTGTGGGACGGAGTGGCCTAGAGGTAGAGGGCTAGACTGCTCACCCGAAAGTCTTTATCAGCCCCGAGAGATACCCAGTATAAGCAACATATGAAGTGTCTAAAACAGATTTCTGTTACAGTAGATGCTTCGATGAGCACTTTACAAAATTTGAGTTCAATCTACGAAGGCAATGTGAAACCACTAGAGATGGCGTACAAGTACAGCAATATCTATGAGGAGAGTTTATTAGGTGAGGAATAAATAAAATACACACTCTCACATCATCGTCCCCTTTTAGCATAGATCATGCATAACTTTAGGCTTCAGTTTTAGTACTTCTAGTCTAGATTTTATGTTATTTGCGTTTTTTTTTAATTTGTTGAAATTTTTTCTTATCTGCCATTTTAATTATTGCTCAAGTTAAGCTTTTCTAATGTTTGTTTTTGTCGTGTTAATTTGATCTGGTTCTTGTTAAATATTTCAAAACTTTAAATAAACCGTTTATCCATAATACTGGCGGGTAACAAACAAGCACATTTTGTTTTGACAAACTAATCTTTAACAATACTAAAAGACACGGAGACAAAGTTGATACAAATAGCAACGGTCTGTTCACAGGCATCAATGTCTACACCAAACCAATCCTTCTCCTGATTGGACCATGGAGCACGGGCAAAACCACAATCATCAATTACCTGCTTAACTTGAAAACATCAACATATGCATTACATACAGGTAAGAAAGGGTTACTTATCCAGTTGGCTAATGCTTGGTATCCTAACTTGTCAACAAGCCTCCTTTTATTCATAATTATTTTCATTTAATGCACTAAGAAAAATGGTGAAAAAAATATATAAGAAGAAAATACGTACTATCGTTTATATAACAAGTAACAGTAATGAAATAAACGCTCAGCTTCCAGTAGAAGTATGTAGCTATTACTCTCTATAGCATATAACTTAAGCCGACCAATGCGTCAAGATGTTGATCAGAACCTCGTTGGGTTAGGGATAAATATGATTTATCATCATCATCTTTCCTTTGTGGCCCTTGGGGAGCATAGGGCTGCAACTACACATTTCCAGCGGACTCGGTTTTTGGGCTGCTCCTTTCATCTGTGCCCACGTGAGCCCAGCTGTCTTAGCCTCTTCCTCTACCGTTCTTCTCCATAATTTCTTTGATTTATGGGATGTTGATAAATCATCGTACACAATGTTATACTATACTATCGTCATGTAACACAAAGCCTGATCCGCAGTTCCGAACCATCCCACGACCCTAAAATAAAAACCTGCATACTCCCGTGTAACAACTGTTCCCTTTTATGCGCTCTAGAGAAATGATTCTTAACCTTATTGGAGGTGCCGAACCCTATCGGTTTTATATTCACATTCACCAAACACTTCTTAATAGTTCTATTGTCCACACTGAGTCGTGCGTGTGTCTTGACTTCCGCCGAAAACCCTGACATTGACTCACCGAACCCATGGGGTTCAATCGAACCCATGTTAAGAACCATATAACTGCCTTAACACTCCTGTCTGTCTTTAGCCAAATTTATCAGTCGCCCCCACCCCCTTCCCCAGCATTTGATCCTCTGTCGTCATTTTGCTCTGTATGTTCAACGCCAGGTACTCTTCGGTCGTCCTTTTTTTTTCCTGTTATACATAGTAGTGCTGCCTTTGTTACTGTGACCAAGTAATATGTAAACACAAAGGTCATCTTACTGAAATGCCAATATTATCTCGTCCAGTTGAGGGCCCCACACAGAGGTGCCCATTTCAGCGCCTGGGACACAGAGGCGTAGCGACCCTTCCCGGCGCCCGGGGACAAACTTTTCGATTTGCGACCCCCTCTAGATTTCGATTTGCCCCCCCCCCTCAAACTTTCGATTTGCACCTCCCCTCAAGATTTTGATTTGCACCCCCCCCCTCAAACTTTCGATTTGCACCCCCCTCAACCTTTCAATTTACTTTTTCAACCCATTTTGGCGCCCCCTAAGGTCGGCGCCCGGGGACATATGTCCCCCCCCCCCTCGCTACGCTACTGCTGGGACAAACTCTCAATTTTTCGAATTTAGGAACAGCATGGGGCGCTTTTTACCAGTCCTTTTACCTTATTAACAGTTTTTATTTTGGTATCTCACATTGGTGTAGAAAACAGTCGGTAAAACCATGCAGCAGTCTATTTAAAAAACTGTGTACTCAGTCATGCAGCTCAAAGTGTGCTATTTATTTTATTTATTTTTACCCCGTTTGGCGCCCCCCCCCCGGTCGCCCCCTCCCCTACCTACGACTCTGCCCTCGTGTAATTTAAATCCTCTTTAGTTATCCGACTTTATTAATCTTTATTAATCATAAACTTAACACGTAGGTGCTGAACCCACTACAAGCGAGTTTTATGTTATTCAGCACGGCCCCCAGTATCGGATGTTTAAAGGGATGCAACTCGTTAGCGACCAAAGAACAACATTTGGTTCGTTAGAAAAGTTTGGGCAGGTAGGTATGTTGGTTGAAATTTTTTTTTTATCGGTTGGGGGGGGGGGGGGGGGGGGAGGGGGGTGTAGTGATAAAAGGAGATGCAAGGGTAAATTTTTTTTTGGGTGGGGGATTGTACATCGTTACCGTTTCGACTTAGCAAAAGGCATGATATATTTTATTATTTTACTTTTTACTTTAATTTTAATCAGTGGATTTTGCAATCCTAGTCTCAGTAGCGTACGCAGGGGGGGAGCAGGGGGAGCTGCCGCTCCCCCTCTGGCCATTTTCATCAAAGTGGCGCCTTTTTGGAAACTTTTTAAACTCAAACTTTTAAACAATGATATTTGTTTAAAAAATATTTTTGGTCGGCACATCTATGTAAATCACAAGATTTCTTTTCATGCAGCAATTAAGCATTATTGTACTAGTCTAGTAGTGTCTACGTTTACAACACGTATTAACAGCTGCATCAGTTTGCCATTTTAAAAATAACCATTACGATGCATTGCAATGTTTAAAAAACCTCTACGGTAGTACCACTTGGCAAGAGGGGTGTTAAGTTTAGGGCAACTGTATAATGTATTTACTTACGAATAATTGAATTAGAAAATGTTATACATTAAACTTTACACATAATTACTTTATATATACAGTTTGAATCGTGCGATTAATTTAAAAAAAATTACAATACAGAAACAAATACAACTCATGTGGCACCTTTATTTAAATTTACTTATGAGCAAACTGCGTAGAGGTGGGGACATTTTGACAAGGTCAACAACGTCATCACGATGAAGTAGTAGTATTCTTACAGTTTGGGCGATAGTGATTACGATTACAAATTATATGAAACAGTTACAACCCCCCCCCTCCCCCACGGACCCTTCTGTAAAAAAATATTGTCATAATACCACTGCTACTTATTTAAATCTATTTCTGTAATATATATTTGTGTAGTATATATTTGTATAATATATACGTATGTTTAGAACAGGCATCTAAAAACTGGCGCTATGTTCACTCTGAGTTGGTTATCCCGCCCCCTCACACACACACACCTCACCACCACAATTGTGTAGAGCGACATTAATGTCACACCTAGGTATACACTGGGTTGGATCATTGACCTAAAGTGAACGGACAGTGGTGAATGAAGGTGAACCCCCCCCCCCCCCCAACCCACCCCGAACTGATCTGTTAAGTACATGTAGAAAAACTCGTAATGATGTACCAAAGTACCATGCCGCCAGAAAATTAGCTTTTTAAACGTAAAACTCTGTGAATATTGTTTTTGCAATTACCAGTAAAAATGTGTATGATCAATACAGTGATCTAACCCATACCAATCACTATGTTAAAAAATGATCTTTAAAGAACACTAAGAAGCAGTAGTTAATTAGTAGTTAATTAAAAATATATGATCTGAACTAAAACACCTATAATGCTATATTTAGTTAAATGTAGGCTATTTATCCGAATGTTTTTCCATTATATCGAAAAGCATGGTTTAATACCAACTCTGATTTTAAAAACTTTCAATATGCTGTATTTATGATGAAATTATATTAAATTCTGATTACAGACAAAAAGATTTTGTAAACACGAATAGTGTTAAATAATTTCATTATATTCTAAAGTAATTATTTATTTGTTTTGACATTTATAATTAAATGTGTAGATATATACATATTTATATTAAGAGAGTGATTATTTCCCCTATTTCACTTGTCTTAAATAATTTCCCAGGAATTATTATGTAAGAAATTTTTTAGCGCAATTTCCATTCTGGAGAATTGCGTTTATTAACCCGTCATTTCTTGATGTATGGATGGATGGATGGAAGTGTGTCCGCAGCTTTAAGTCGTATCTCCTCCTCAACGAAGCAATATCGATGACTAGTTCCAAAGCAATTATGTTAAGCAAGTTACGAGGATGAACATAGGCCATAAAAATTCCGGGTTTCTTTCATGGATTTCCCGAAAAAGCCAAAAAACCTCGAAAAAAAGCAGTTTTTGGCCCATATCTCGGCAACCAGACCACTTAGCGACTTGAAACATGTACCAATCGATTCTTACCATAATTTAGAACAATATTGCCGAAGAAAGTTTTCAAAAATATCCTTTCGTTCGGTCACAAAAATTTTTTTGAATTAATTAAAATTTTGACCGAATTAGTAGGCATTTTTTCCAACCACACCACACTCGTCATCACGTTCAATAGCTGCGCCATCACGTTCAATGGCTGCGTCATGACGTTCAGTAGCTAGGCGCGCAATGGTTTTTAGTCATGTAACTCTATTGTAAATAAAACATGTAAAATACTGGAAAAAAAATTAATAAAAAACGTTTTAATAACTAACCAATGGTTTTACTAACCCTGCTCTTGATTTACGCTACGACAGAGCTATTTTTAGATAACATAAGGAAATTGCGCTTAAATGTCACTAGACTTTTTAATTAACTTGTTTTTACAAGAATTACAAAAAAGATTGTGTTACGTTCATTGTTTTTGGCTGTAGTGTGTGTATATATATATATATTTTTTTGTTTAGATTGATACAGTTTTTGTTTTGTCGGCCTACATTGTGTGTTAATTTATTTTACATCATAGCGAAGTAATGACATACAGCTAGTAATTATATATGTATATAATTTATGTATTTATGTATATATGTATATATGTATATATGTATATATGTATATATGTATATATATATATATATATATATATATATATATATATATATATATATATATATATATATATATATATATATATATATATGTATATATATATATATATATATATAATACACGTATACAGAACGTGTTAAAAGTTCGGCGCCTTTTTTTGCTCTTTTCGCTCCCCCTACAACGAAAACCTGGATACGCCTCTGCCTAGTCTGGATTTAATAGTTTATAATAATAATATTTAAAAAAGTTATTTGATATCTTAGACACTAGGCCTACTATTATACACATTATTTCTCTGATATATATTACTTTATTAAAAAAAAGTTCAAATATTTTGGAGGTGGGTGTAATGTGACATCATCTTTTTAAAAGGGGGGGGGGGAGAGACAGAGGGTGGAGACTTCAAGGGATAAGACGTTTAGCGACAGGGTGGGAAAAGATTTATATTTATAAGTTACAGACTAGAAGCACACCAAATTTTTTTTTAGCCCAGCCAGTGATAAAAGTTAAAGTATCTTTACTGCTTGAACTACTCTTTCTGCTTTAAAACTTAAGGTGGGGGAGGGGTGAGGTCGACGAAGAAGTCATACGCGGTTGTTTTACTTTATCCACCGCAACTCCCCACTTGAAGCCTACGTAAGCTTGCGAGTATATAATATATATATATATATATATATATATATATATATATATATATATATATATATATATATATATATATATATATATATATATATATATATATATATATCGCGCGGTGGGGGGGGGGGGGTATAAATATTGCAAATCTACTTCAGAAAAAGAATTAATACTTTTTTTTGTGTTAAGCATTGCCTCTAGTAGTAAAACTAAAAACTTTCTAATGTTTTTGACCACAGGATTTCCTGGAGCACCTTAAAGGAGTAGAAGTTCCATCACCATTACTGGAACAAATAACAATCGTTGACACTCCCGGCATCATGGAGAATAAGAAACAGCAGAGGAGGAGCTACCCGTTCTCTGATGTGCTGCAGTGGTTCATACAAAGTGCTAGCATCATCTTCCTTGTCTTTGACCCTACCAAGTTAGAAATGGGGGCTGAGCTGGAGCATGTATATTCTTTGGTAATTGTTTTTTTCAGTTTTATGCAGGGCAGGCATTGGCTAATTTCGTTTTCTATGTAATTTTCAGTTTTAAGTTGGTCTAGTGGTTGGGTGCGAAAGTAATATTCCAATTATAAAAAAAATAAAGGAAAAATATTGGGCAAGTTTTCTATCATCTGTCCTTACCAATAACCAAATTTTGCTCTTAATTAAGTTAAATGGGACATAAATTTTTTCAGTGGTTTACAGCAAAAAAAGTCCAATACCCATTTAAAAAAAAAAAGTCCATTATGATACTACCAAAAGATGCTGTATTTAAGAAGTCTTTCCTTTTTTTTTATACTTTTCAGCTTAAGGGACACGACAGCAAAGTCAGGATGCTCCTAAACAAAGCAGACACTGTGTCCCAGCAGGAGCTGATGAAGGTGCATGGGACTTTATTCTGGGGACTTGCTTCGTTCACACACACCCCGGAGCCTCCCAGGATCTATGTGGGTTCATTCTGGTTGAACACAATCCACACTCACCCCCTTGCTCAATTTTTTTTAGATGAGGAGAAATTATTACTTCAAGATTTAAATCAAGTTATTGAGAATCAAATTGAAAACAAAATAGCTTTTGTGCGAAGTCATGCTATCAAAGTGCGATTGCATGCATTGACCATCGACTCGTTTCTGCAGGTATATTATGAGAAAAGAAGTCGCTTATTTTACGACAACGTGCTGTATTCTAATATTATTGAAGAGCCTGAGAAAAACAATGTGTTTTTAAAACTACTAGAGCACAGCTACGTCAGTAAATTTGATTTGCCCAATAAGAAAAAGTACGCAAACTTCTTTAAAACGAACCCTTTACTTGAATTTCAATTACTACAAAACCGTTTATGCCAATTATTACCTTGTCCATTAAATAATATAGATGAAGCCATTGACAAACTTTTACCTCAGCTTCTCAACCGGTTTAAAACAAGAACCAATGGTTTTTGCATAAATGAAAATTGCTAATATTATCTTTCAAATATTCTGCAATTAAAAATAATGAACAAAAGTGATAATTTTTTTACTGTTTCAAGTTTAAAATCTTTAAAAAAGAATTGTTTTAGATTAATAAATGATTTAAACCTTAGCCAACAGCTGTTTCATTTTTTAGGAGATAATTCAAGAGACAAATATTTCTAGTATAGAAAAAAACTTGTTCAATTAACGGCTAATAGGTTGTCAATTGATGATGTCCAGAGGCATAGGTAGACTAGAGGATGTAGGATCCACCCATACAAACACCCCTGTTCAAATGTATATATTTTGTATGTAGGAAAATGGTTTTTATTAGGGATTCTTTCCTGGAAGACCCACTAATGATAACTAAGACTATTATTACTGGTCTAAACCAAAATTTCTGTAACCTACTACTTAAATGTTTTTTAAACTTTTAAAATTACGACTTTTATATCAAGCAGTTTTATTTTGCCCAGGCCTACATAAAATATAAAGAAAAATTAATTTGGACATGAACAAGTTGACAAGAATCCTTCCATTTAATATAGCTGAAGATTAAATTAAAAATGTGTTCTTTTTATAGAAAGCTTTGAATAGCAAAACTGCAAATAAAACAAGTAGTTTTTTTTTAATCTTTTCTTAAAGATGGATTTAATGAATGTTTAAAATAACAAATTCACATATAAAAACATGAATACAATGTAGTAAAAATCAATTGTGAAATATTAACATATTTTATATTTAATAGTGTTAGATCTACTTAAAAAAAAGAATGCCATTGGTATATAAAGCGGAAAAGGGCAATTATTCTTTTTAAAAATGTCAAAACGACTTTTTCAAAACCTCAACAAAAAAAAATGGCTTGCATTAATAGTTTTGCCTAACACAATGCTCTCGGATAACTAAACATGGTCAGCAGAACAAAAGATAAATATTGATAATTTAATTTACCTAAGCAATTGACTTAACTGTGTGAAGAATTTGAATCTTTATCCATTACTCCCTTTATATTGCTTGGCAAATAAGGCAGTGGGCATTAATTAAAAAATAAAACTATGGTTAAATGCAATAACATAAGGAAGGTATTACATCAAATTTAATTTAAATACACAACACTAAAACACCTTTCCTACAAGATTACAACTCATATAATTATCCCAGTTTATAAAAGAAAGATAAATTGATTTGGATTTGACAAAGATTATGGGGAAGATTACAATTATTTTTAAAAATACAAATGGTTTTGCAAAATAATAAAATAAATCATGTGAAATCTGGATTTAAAGAAATATGAGAAAGTGGCATCCTTTTGTATAAAAAAAAAGGTAAGGATTAGTAAGGTTTGTGGAACAGGTATATAAAAAACTATATATATCCATGATGTTTATGACTAATTTCTACATTTCAAAAATTTAAAACTAGTACAAAATTGTACTGTTTGCAGAGGTGAAGAGTGAAAGTTCTTAAGTAAAAAAATTCATCTAAATATCAAGTTTGATTTGAAAACGTATAAAGAAATCATTTCTATGACAAGTCAAATTAGTAACAAAATTTAAAATTATCCAACAGCAGCAATTTTAAGAAATCACAAAAGATACCCCTGCCTCTCTTCTAATATATCTGCCTTTTGTAAATGGTCATAGTTGAAGCTAAGAAATAGTTTTAGAAATATACAAATATAATGAATGGTATTGATTGACTGTATGTAACTTTTTCAAATCTGAGAACATACACATATTCACTTTAATTACGTTGTACCATTTCAAAAATTAAAAACAAAAACATGCTATTTTTTGTTAGCAATACATTCACTTCCTGTTTCGCAGCCATAAAAAACTGCATATACCCTAGCAACACTCAGTGAAGTTTGTCATATAAACATATCCATTATTAATATAAATACTTTATCATTCCATTTATTCAAGGCTAGCAAACATAAATTAGAAAGAAAAAACTAATGATAAAATTGAACAAGCAAAGAAATTGAAAAGAACAAAAAAAAAATCTTGAAATGATCATTACCTACTCTCCCATTATTATTTACCTAAAGAAAGTAATGAATTATCTGTGATGACAGAGGAGTGAACTGGTTATTTATACAATCTACCATACAAAATTTCTTGATCTCTCCTTCAATTATTTACTAAAAAACAACAACACGCGACACATCACACAGTTCCTGCACCAGGGAACGCCCCTGGAAAACCTTTCCCAGGACCCCCCTCACCGCTGCCAAACTTGGTTGCCATTTTGTTGATAACTGCCTGCACTTTGGGATTGTTCTGGTACTTGGAGATATTGGCTGGGTTCATGGCCACATCCTGGAAAGCTTGAGCAACTTCTGGGTCCTAGAAAGGTTTACGTAGAAGAAAACAACAACCACATTAACTACTTATAAAGAAAGAAATTTAAGTGAAAATATTTAATTAAACAACGTATTGAAGTTTAAAGAATTGAAAATTTTAAAAGTTTTAAACACTTCAATAAAAACACTTTTTCAAACAACACTGAAGAGCATTTTATATATATAGACATTAAAATAGGTTGACACCAATAACTGGCTAAAATTTCATTATACTATATATCTAAACCCCATACGTTTACATCAAAATTATTTTACTTTTAAAACTAAGAGTATACAGCGGATCTATAATCTGATTTTCTTTTTGTGCATTCAATTTTTTAAATAAAATGAAATGCTTAAAAACAGGCCACTTGCTGTTACATTTAGATTATATACAATAACCTTTCTGCCACCAGTTAATTTACCTGGAAAGCAGTTAACAGCTCAGGATCTTGGAGCAACTGAGAGAGTCCAGGCATTCCTGGCATACCTCCTGCTGAACCTAGGATTAGAAAGCAGGTGATTATATAGTTATAAAAGTAACTGACAAAAAGACTTTTATTTTAGAGAAAATGTACAAGATTTAAATAAATTCAAATGACAGCAAATGCAAGTATATTAAAAAAAATTCTTACCAGGGAATGCCCCTGGAAAACCAGCAAATCCGCCATCTGCATCACTATGTGCATTCTGCTGCTTAAAACAAAATCAATATATACAAAGTTATTAAAATAACGTAGCTTGCGTAGATTAAAAAAAAAAGCAAAGTGTTTTGTCAAGTAATTTAGCCCTGCCCCACTATTTAACTACAATGTTTGTAAAATAGTTTAAGATTTAAAATCATTGGGTGTAAAACATTCTGATCTTACCTCTTTCATTCGTTCATACTCTTCACGTGATTTTTTAATCCTGTCTCTTCTTTTTTTCAATTCTTTTTCCTCCCTTATTCTCTCATATTTTCGTTTGTGCTCCATTATTTTCTTGGCCTGGTTTAAATTAAAATATGAAACAACTTTTAAATACATCCATGTAAACCAAAACTAAACTGAAATAAAATAAGGACAAATATTACGTTAAATATTACCATCCTTATTACAGTGCATACAGTATATATCTGTGGCTTACCTAATCAATGTACTTATTATAAGAATATTTGTAAACTGTTCAACTTACATTAGGTGTGACCTCATGCAGCCATACATTAGCATCATCATCATAATCTAGTTTGCAGGCTAAAGTTAAATCATGATAAGATTCCTCCCACTGACCAAGCAACCTATAAAAATACATTTTTAAATTACATAAATGATTTGATTCTGCAAAACAACTAAGAAAAACAGAATATTTAACTGAATACTGTTACCGTCATAAAGGTTTAAGTCTTTAAATTTACATTTTCCCATTAAAAAGTAGTAATTACAGTATTTTAATAAACATATTAGTATACAACTTTGGTATTACCTGTAAGCCCTTCCTCTCCATTTGTAACCTTGAGCAGAATCAGCATTGAGCTCAATTGCTTTAGTACAGTCATGAATTGCTTTCTTTGGTTTGTTCAATTTAATAAAAATTCTGAAATTCATAATAATTTTATTATTAATTAAAATTAAATAACATATTGTTTTCTTTAAAAAAATGTTTTCAAAACAGATTACATACGTTGCCCTTTTCGCATACAGAAGTGCAGATGATGGATTCAGTTTGATTGCCTCTGTTAATTGCTCGATAGCATCTTCATATCTACCTATTAGATAAAAAGTATGACTATTATTTTGAATCTGCAGAAAAAAAATAACAATAGGCGGCTAAAAAATAATTTACTTGAGATTTTCGATCAGAGAAAAAAGAAATGAATGGTTCAACATGCCTTCAGCGGCAGCATCCAAAGCTGCGGAGCGTTTGTCATTAGCCTCATCAATCATTTCATCAGTCACCTCTACAGTGTCATCACCATAAACAGGCATGTCTTCATCATTGTCCTCTATGACACCTTCATTGCCAAGTTCAATATCACTTTCCACATCTTCTTCCTCTTCCTCCTCTTCTTCCTCTTGTGGTGGCTGTGGTTTTGGTACATCTCTTGGCGGTTCTGCCTGTTTACGAGGTGGAATTGTGGCACCCAAACTATCAATTTTTAAAGAAAGTAGATGTATTAAGAAAGTTTCAACATATTGTAGAATTAAATAGTAGATCTAGTTAAATTTATTTAACATTATTTAAAAAACCAAACACAATAAAACCATAACATATACTCTGTAATCAAACTATAGTATATTTCATCTAGCCTATATTAATTTGGCGTAATGGTTTTTATAGGCCTAAAGTTAAAAAATACATACCTCTCCAGATAACTTTTGTAAAATCCAAGTTCAGGAAGATAAAGCAAATCACTATTTGATTTGCAAAGTGTAACAAATTGTTTCAGCATTTGAAGCTGATCATCTGGTATAACAGAGCCCATTGTTGTTTTACTTTACCAATAATCTAAGAAAGAAGAATATGCTTTGAACTAAATGTAAACATGGGACTATAAACTATAATGAATAATGCTCTCCATTTCAGCAAAAAGTTAAAATTATTTTTTATAGGCCTACTACTACTTACTACTTAGATTTATGCTGATTTACATAGATCTAGGTCCAAGACCATAGGCCTATGGTCAAAACTAAATTGTCTGCAGACGCTAGATCTAATCCTAATAAATATTTTAGGAACTAGATATCTAGATCTAGAATCTCTAGATCTAGATCTAGATTCTATCAGTATTCTCTACTGTAGCTGAACTCCTGTGCTAGTGTTATAGACTGTTACTCTGTTAGAGTACTCTCTACACTTAGTCTACACTCTACGAGATCTAGATCTTGTACTACAGTACTAGGTAACTATAGTTAGAGATCTTTATTAACAATTTAACCGTACTTCTACTTCACCTAGATCTATATCTAAACTACAGGTCTAGATCTAGATCTAGATCTAGACTCTTTTTTTACTACACTACGGACTTCAGGCACCAACACCGCACGGTCACACCAGCCACACGTTTTTTTGTTGACAGTCTCTCTTCTCAACTTTACTAGTCCAATACTAGAGCTAGATTTCTAAATCTTGATTATAGACCTATTTTTATTTAAATTTCTAGATTTTTATCTCTGTGCATTTCGATGATACAAAATAAAGCATTTGAAAAAGGTTCTAGCATTTTGCAAATAGAAGTAAGCCGAAAAGTAAACAACCAAAAAGTAAAAACTTACGTAGAATATTCTGGACAACGGGATCCCCAAAATTTCACTGCAATGTGTATTGTGAAGATAGCTAAAAAGCGGTGGGCATGGTTAAATAAAAATTCGAATACAAGTAAATAAATGTCAAGATTTCGATACTTATATCTGTTTATTTTTCAATAGGAAAGTAGTCCATTAGTATTTAATTTAGAACAAACTTCTTTTCAAAAATAAAAGTATAATTTTGTCTTCAAACATTACTTGCCTCATAGTTCGATAACATGTTGAATAAACGTATACTGGACTATTATTGATATAATGGGAAAAATAATTTTTTATAATCGATTACAAAATAATATATTTGTCCATTTTTGACCTTGACCTAGGCCTAACTGGCGATAAAATACACAAATATGTGGGCCTTACGTGTGGCCCGTAAGAGTCGCAAGCCGAACGATTTTATGCCGAACCTTTAAGAACTTTAGAAACAATGTAAAAGCAATACATACATACATTTATATAGGCCTATAGATCTACTTTTGTTGAATATCAGTAACTAGTCCACATCGCTTAGTCGGATTAAACTATTTTATATGCCTTCTTACTTCTTACTATGTACACTAACTATCAATACTATTATAATTTATAACTGTAGGCTGAAATGAAAATCTGAGCTGACTCTGAATCTATTATTTTCTAGCATGTCCATTTCCTAACTAATCCACGAAAAGCAATACCTCAACGGTCAACCTAAAGCCTAACTAGACACAATGAATACAATTATCCAAAGCTCACTGAAGTGATTAATCGGCTTAAAACTTACGGGCAATAGCATTAGTCTGTGTTGAGGAGGTGGAGGGGGGGGGGGCATTGCATGACCCGATCTATATGATTATGAATGCAGAGGCGTAGCGCCCCTTCCAGGCGCCCGGGGACAAACTTTTCGATTTACACCTCCCCCCCCCCCCTCGAGATTTTGATTTGCACCCCCCTCAAACTTTCAATTTGCGCCCCCCTCAACCTTTCAATTTATTTTTCCAACCCATTTTGGCGCCCCCTAAGGTCGGCGCCCGGGGCCATATGTCCCCCCCCCCCCCGCCCCCCCCCCCTCGCTACGCTACTGTATGAATGTAGGTGACACCAAGACAAAAACTGCACAAAGAAAACGTTATTATTTACATCTTTAAATTATTATTATATGAGAAGACTCCAACATTTCGGTTGGGCAGACTGGTAAAAGTAAACTAGGAGAACGATCGGTTTGTAGGTGTTTATGTAATTTAAAAATTTTTTTTGTGACCGAACGAAAGATATTTTTGAAAACTTTCTTCGGCAATATTGTTCTAAATTATGACAGGAATCGATTGGTAAATGTTTCAAGTCGCTAAGTGGTCTGGTTGCCGAGATATGGAGCAAAAACTGCATTTGTTCGAGGTTTTTTGGCTTTTCCAGGAAATCCAGGAAGGAATTCCGGGAATTTTTTTAGCCCACAATCATCCTCGGAACTTGCTTAACATATTTGCTTTTGGAACTAGTCCTCGATATTGCTTCGTTGAGGAGGATATACGACTTAAAGCTGCGGACACACATCCATCCTTGACGAGTTAATAATCGCAATTGTCCGTATGGAGATTGCGCTAAAAAACTTGTCTGTATTGAAACAGTGGTGTAATTTAAGGGGCGGGGGTTGACCTAGTAGCGTAGCGAAGGGGGGGGGGGGAACATATGACTTAGGGGGCGCCAAAATGGGTTGGAAAAATAAATTGAAAGGTTGAGGGGGGTGCAAATCGAAAGTTTGAGGGGGGGGGGGTGTGCAAATGGAAATCTCGAGGGGGGGGGGGGGGGTGCAAATCAAAAGTTTGAGGGGGGGGGGGGGTGCAAATCAAAATCTCGAGAGGGGGGGTGCAAATCGAAAAGTTTGTCCCCGGGCGCCGGGAAGGGTCGCTACGCCTCTGCGTTGACCATTAGGAGCCCCAAAAGAGCTAGAAAAAATAATAAGCAATTAGTAAATGTTGAGCTGCAGTACTAATATTTACAAAATCAAAGTTAATAATCAAAGGGTGGGGGATTAACCCTAAAGGAGCGCCAAAACATGTGGAAATTTTAAAAAAAAAAGTAATATTTTTTAGCTGCGGTATGAATTATACAAAATTAGAATTAAGAAAATAAACAACTACAAGGCTATACACACCGATAACTGTTTTTAACACGTTTTTATTAACTCAGCTTCGCGTGTGTTTGTTGTTAAAATTGACATCGAAAATTAGCCCACTTCTGATTGCTCTATAGATCTGAAATTTGGCATGCAGGTTACTTTCGCCTAACAATTTCAGATGCAATCATAAAAACTAGCAATTAGAGACCGTAATTAGCTTAATTTAATTACGCCCAAAGGACCATAAAATTGAGGACATGATTTCTAAAGATACCGACAAGACTGGAGGCTTGTTGACACAGTTACTTCGGCCCCAATCGATGTGAGCGCGCTGGCCGTGATCGTATAGTGGTTAGTACTTCGCGTTGTGGCCGCGACAACCCAGGTTCGAATCCTGGTCGCTCAAGATTTTTTTAGTCCGTGTATTTATAAACACTTAGTCAATTCATACTTAATCAAGTCATTAGATAAAGTAGAAAATAAACTATATAAAAAACTTTTTTAAAAACCACGTTTTTCATGTGTAGCAACGGACTAAAAAGGAGAAAATAAAATACTTAAAAAAAACTTTTTAAAAAACCACGTTTTTCTTGTGGACTAAAAAGTAGAAAATAACTATTTACATACATTTGATGACAAAAAACGTGGGTCGGGCAGATGGGTCGGGAAGATTGATGGTGAACGTACCCACGTTTTTTGTCATCAAATGTATGTAAATAGTTATTTTCTACTTTTTAGTCCACAAGAAAAACGTGGTTTTTTAAAAAGTTTTTTTTAAGTATTTTATTCTGCCTTGATTGTGTACGAGGACGGGTGTGTTGATGTGTATGTTGTTGTACGGAGTGAACGAGGGTACAAGGGAAGCGACTGGTCGGGTGACAGTGGCTGTGTTGTGAGCGAGAGAAAGGTGGTGTGTAGGGGTGAATGCGGAGGACAGTGGAAGGTTGAGTGTCAAACAAGGAGGTGGATTTTGGGACTGGAGGCACGGGAGATAGAGAAATAAAGAATACTGTAATAGCTTCAATCGTGTTGTTCTTTCTTTGAGATTCAGACGCCCTCACACTAAGGAAAAAAAAAAAACGCTTCTCCAATAACGTGAGAGATCAAAGACTTTTACTGGACTGCAATAGATCTTGCCTGGATCCTTTATGTTAAAAAGAAATAAATATCACGGATTCTTATGTAGGCAGTGGCGTAGCGAGGTCGGGTGTCACCCGGTGCGGCACTTAATGGTGTCACCCCCCCCCCCCCCCCCAGAAGCGTAGCGACCCTTCCCGGGTACAAACTTTCAAGTTTCGATTAGCACCCCACCCCTGTAGGCCTATACATCATTTTTCTTTTTAAATTAATTTTTACTTATTCAATTTATAGTTTGAATGTATGTTTTGGATCTTGTTCGGTTTTTATTGGAGGAAAAGCAGCCCATTACCTATTTCGGTAGCAGTGTTTCTTCCAGACTTTTTTTTCTACGGGGGGGGGGGGGGGGGGCACTTGATATTTTCGTGGGAGGAGGGGGACGGACAACATTTTCCGGGGGTGGGGGAGGACACTGGTAAAAGCAGGTAAAAGTATATGCTTTCTATATAAATTCAAATTCGTTCGAGGGGAGGGGGAAGCCCCCCCCCCCAATCGAAGTAGAATTTATATAGAAAATATACTTTTATCAGTGTCACCCCCCTCCCGGAAAACTTAAGTGCCCCACCGGCGTAAAAAGTCTGAAAGAAACACTGTTGTGGCCCGTGGACCATATAGGCGGCAGGCCGAACAGATACAGAGTTAAAAGCAAGGATCCGCATAGCCATAGCATGCTTCGAACAGTTAAAGAACATCTGGACTTCCAGTGAGCTTTCCTTGAGCACCAAGGTGCGCCTTTTTAATTCAAATGTAAAATCAGTGCTGCTGTATAGGGCTGAGACTTATTGGAGGATAGCAAAGCAGTAGCGTAGCGAGGGGGGGGGGGACACACACATAAATTCATAGGTTGAGGGGGGTGCAAATCGAAAGTTTGAGAGGGGGGGGGGGTGCAAATCGAAATCTTGAGGGGGGGGGGTGCAAATCGAAAGTTTGAGGGGGGGGGGTGCAAATCGAAAGTTTGAGGGGGATGGTGCAAATCGAAGAGTTTGTCCCCGGGCGCCGGGAAGGGTCGCTACGCCTCTGTAGCAAAGACCACCATAGATATAAAGGTCAGAGCTTTATAACTATCAACAGTTGATACAGGTCACAGACAAATATTCAGGATCCGCTGGCCAAAAACCTTCAACAACACACATTGTCCAATGGGAAGGGGTCGTCCATACATGACGTCACACTCGTAGGGAGGAGGGGGGATCCGTAATTTTGTGACGATGTGCGATGAGGGGGAAAAGGGGGGGGGGGGTAGATGGTGACGTCACACTTTTGCATTAGAAAAAAGCAATGTTAGAAAACGAGTTTTAGCCGTCATTTTGCGTTTTAGAAAACGGTTTTAATAAATTGTAACTGGAATTGATCAAAATACTCTATGTTGACTGTGTTCTGACTATTTTTCGAAAAATATCGATGTTTTAAGAAAAATTCAATAGCAATTTTGAGGGGGGGGGGGTTGTAGGCTGAGATGTGACGTCATTTTAGGGGGGGGGGTCTGGCTTTTTGTGACGACGTGTGACGGAGGAGAGGGGGGAGGTAAAAATCGTCAAAAAAGCGTGACGTCATTTATGGATGACCCCAAACGACACGACAACTTTCCGCTGATGTAGAAATCAGGAAAAGTAGATACCGTTGGATAGGGCACGCACTGCAGAGACAGCCATTCAACATCACCAGGCAGGCATGAATTGAGGAGGTGTACTCACTAGGAAAGATCTTTAGAAAGAGCTTTAGAGATCGACACTGAAGCTAAAACTGCAGATACACTTAGAGTCAGGTTGAGAAAATGGCACATGACTTGGGTCCAGAGTTTCTTCTACCCCCCTCCCCCGAACGAAATGGAATTCATATAGAAATTACATTTAAGTGCCCCCCCCCCCCCCCCCCCCCGGAGAAAAAAGTCTGGAAGAAACACTGCTTGGGTCCCTGGATACCTTAGGTTGGCGGCCCATGGATTTACACACACACACGCACGCACGCACGCACGAACGCACAAACACACACACCCCATGGTTTTATGTAAGTTTACATTCTAAGGAAATAAATATTATTAAATAGACCCGACATATAAAAACTTTTACATTAATTTATAATAGTAAGCTTTTAGTTGGCTACGCAATACACATTACTAAACACTGTCATGTTAATGATTTAGATCTAGATATAGAAGTATTAGTATATATTTAATATTGATAATTCTAGTAAAGTAAAATTAAGTAATCTTCGTTAAAGCCATTTTTGTGTGTGTCGAGAACGGGTGTGTGTGAGAGATCCTGTGTACTTCAAAGGGAGATAATTCTAAAATAAAATATTTTTTTCAAAGACACCGTCATAACAACACTGAACCGTGTGTCAGAAAAGATATTACATAATTACATCATTACAACCTAGATTCAAGATCTAAGTAGATCTAGATCTAAATGAGTTAATAATAGAGAAAATAATATAAAATAAATCCCAAAATGTTGAACCTAAATTGTGGAGATATTAATATTATTAATATTTAATATTATTCACAGTTATGTGACAGTTGACTGAGTTGAGTGTGTACGACGCTGATGTACAGTTGTACACTGAGGTCCTGAGGTGATCTTTGAATGTACTAAAAAAACAACTATTACTAACTTAACTACTAGATCTAGTAACTAGCCATAACTAGGCTAAACTACTTGCTACACTACACTACACAGTGCACTGTGTACATTTTTACACTCACTAGTGACTGGTGGTAGACTCTGGTAGTAGTAGTGGTAGAGTCTAAAAATTAAAAAAATGCAGAATATTTCAGGTCAGTTCTCTGTATTTCTGTGTATTCTTTAATTCTTTAACTTTTAATTTTATTAATTTAGAATATACCTATACATTATACATACTGGCTATAGCATATACTATACTATTATAGATAGTACATTTAATTATAAATTATTGTCTCAAAGTGTATAGGCCTAATTCAGTAATTCCCAGTCAACTTGATACTGATAGGGCACACACTTTGATGAATAGCCATTTGCCATTTATTATCAATAATTTTAATGTTAAAAATAGCTATGTTGGTAAGGAACAGAATGGTTGGTTATATTGGTGCACAACTGTCACACTGAATGTCATTGGTTCGGATCTATCATATAAATCTCCCCACATTTTTTTTTGCGGTTATTCATTGTTTCCAAATGAGTATTAAATTTTTTTTTACCGGAACCTGGCCCCTTAACTTGATAAGTATGGAAATGCTAGGATATACAAATTTATTTATAAATATATTTTAATTTTAATATTCTTTAATAAAGTTTTACTTAGAGGTTAATTTTAGAAACTATAAATTGGCTTGATGGATATTATGTATCAACTAGTTAAATATTTCATTTCTATCTTGTAGGTAAACCCATTTCTTTTTACTGCGGAATCATGAAACTCAAACAAATTTGCCAGGTTTCTAAGTATATGAGATCAACAGTAAGATTTTTAGGCCAGCCTGCAGCTGAAAGCCATCCACACTTAATTTCTGAAGGAGAAGTGACACCCGGCCTGACCAGGAAGGAATTTCATAACAGAAGGTGCAATCTTGTCAAGGCTGCCCTGAATTCATTTCGGGGTGTCAAAACAGTCAACCACCACTTGTTTGTCTTTCCATCGGCAACTACTGTGTACATGACCAATGACATTCCCTATCCGTTCAGACAAAATTCTGATTTCCTTTACTTCTGTGGCTTCCAAGAGCCAGACAGTGCACTGCTGATTGCAGCCAACAGCCAATCGTCCCGGAACGGTGAGCATGTCGCACATTTGTTTGTGCCTCGTAAAGATCCAGCAAAAGAACTTTGGGATGGGCCTAGGTCAGGAGCTGATGGTGCCTTACTCCTGACTGGGGTGGATGGAGCTTTTAACTCCAATGAGCTGGAGAAGTATTTACAGTTTTACCTTAAAGACCATAAAGATTTTGTCTTGTGGTACAACCACGGTAGTCCAGTGCATGCAGAATTTCACAACCGTGTCCTTGCTCAAGTTATGCGTGACCAGAAGCACAAGTGTGTTGAAAGTACAACCGCTATATCACATCAATTACGATGCATCAAATCTGAAGCAGAAGTGCAGTTGATGCAAGAAAGTGCCAAAATAGCTTCAGAGTCTTTCAAAGAAGTCATGCGATTTTCAAAACCACAGGTACAGTCATTTTTATTTTCATATCAATCATTCAGAAACACAATCACTATATAACAAAAAAGAAAACAAGCTTAAATTTACTATAGTTTATTAACTCTTAATTAGTTCACATTTTCAGATAAATGAAGCTCAGTTATGGGCTAAAATGGACTATGAATGTCGCTTGCGTGGTGCTGAGTTTTTAGCATATCCGCCTGTTGTTGCAGGTTAGTATATAAAAAAACAACCCATAAAAGCATGAATTAAGCATCTATCAATCAACACTGAATGTCATTGGTTCGGAGCTATAATATAAAACTCCCCTGTCAGTGAGTGAAAGTGATGTTATTCTTTACCTGTTAGTGAGTGGTAGTGATGTTATTCTTTACCTGTCAGTGAGTGGTAGTGATGTTATTCTTTACCTCTGCAGTGAGTGGTATTGATGTTATTCTTTACCTCTGCAGTGAGTGGTAGTGATGTTATTCTTTACCTGTTAGTGAGTGGTAGTGATGTTATTCTTTACCTCTGCAGTGAGTGGTAGTGATGTTATTCTTTACCTGTCAGTGAGTGGTAGTGATGTTATTCTTTACCTGTCAGTGAGTGGTAGTGATGTTATTCTTTACCTCTGCAGTGAGTGGTAGTGATGTTATTCTTTACCTGTCAGTGAGTGGTAGTGATGTTATTCTTTACCTCTGCAGTGAGTGGTATTGATGTTATTCTTTACCTCTGCAGTGAGTGGTAGTGATGTTATTCTTTACCTCTGCAGTGAGTGGTAGTGATGTTATTCTTTACCTCTGCAGTGAGTGGTAGTGATGTTATTCTATACCTCTGCAGTGAGTGGTAGTGATGTTATTCTTTACCTCTGCAGTGAGTGGTAGTGATGTTATTCTTTACCTCTGCAGTGAGTGGTAGTGATGTTATTCTTTACCTCTGCAGTGAGTGGTAGTGATGTTATTCTTTACCTGTTAGTGAGTGGTAGCGACGTTAGCCTTTACATCTGTGAGTGTGAGTGGTATTAATGTTAACCTTTCTCTTCACCAGGAGGGCCTCGAGCCAACACTATTCATTACATTGCCAATAACCAGGTGGTAGCAGATGGGCAAATGGTCTTGATGGACGCTGGCTGTGAGTACCACGGCTATGCCAGTGATCTGACCCGCACGTGGCCTGTGTCAGGTAACTTTACTGTTGTGAATTGGTTTTCCTTGTGTGATTTATCATTGCAGGACATTGTTGATGTGTTGGTTTATGTTCAGTCGTTGCTGTTCTAAAATTTTATGAATTACTGTAAGAGTAAACCTGTATGACATTTCTTCAACAATTTTTTTGTCGTCACCTATTGTTGTTTCCATTGCTAGGTCGTTTTACCGAGCCACAGAAGCTGTTGTATGATGCCACACTGCGAGTGCAAGAGGCCTGCATCAGGCTGTGCACCACTGACAACAGTTTGGATGATATCTACCACCAAATGCTTCTTTTCCTTGCTGCAGAGCTTATACAGCTGAAAATTATCACCCCTATCTCTCCGTTTGAGAATAAACAACATGTAGGTTATTTTTTTTTAAACATATTTTGCTGTTAATAATATATGGAAATCAGAAATTAAAGAAACAATAATTGTATCTTAAAATAAAACTTTAAAGTCATGAACCAATCATGAAAAAAAATTGTTCCGTAAAGGACTACTAAAATTATATTAATATATATTTATTTAATTAAATACTGCATAGGCTTATTTTTTCTATTTTTAGAATGTTTCTAAAACAAACAAAAATTGACAAAGCTGCTAGCTATATAAACATGATTAAGTTATGATCTAGTTAATATAAATTAAAAATATATTTTAGCTGGCGAGAAAGTTCTGCCCACATCATGTTGGCCACTACCTAGGGATGGATGTTCATGACACCAATGATGTATCAAGACAAATCAAGCTCAAGCCAAACATGGTTGTTACCATTGAGCCCGGTAAGAAAAACTTGCAAAACTGCTCCTCCCTACCCCTATATCAGTTTGTTTTTTATCAAGATTCTTAAATTTCTTCACAAATTATTTCTACAAAGATCACTAATAACTAATTAAAGTCTAAGTTAAATGCTTTAATTAGCGTTACTAAAAATTTTTTTACTAACATTTGCATAGTGTTTGTTACCAGGAATGGACAATTGGAACAAAAAATTAGCTTGAAAGATCTAAGCTGTAAAGAAGCTTCTCATTATTTGTTATGTTAAGTTCTATGTAGTGTGTTAAAATTAATATCTATTTTAATTTCATTATATTTAAAAAGCAGAATTCACTTATATTGATCATAATTATGAATTAATACAATTGCGGCTCATTGTTTAATATATTTAACAAAGATGGCCCTAGTCTTCTTCTTTGTTCTTAATTGTAATGTTGGACAGAATTTCCTCCAAAACATTTAAGTATTAGATGTCAACTTCAGCCTTCTTTTCTCTTTTGGATTTGCTTCCATAGTTTTTGTCCATCCAAGAATAAACTACAAAGCAGCATTGACTTTGGAGTTTTCTCTCTTTAATAAATTGCCATCCCCAGCTATCGGTTTGGCAAACATGAGCTTTACCAACTGACCACGCCAATGCATAGCTCTATTAGCATTTCTTTTGTCCATCATTTTAAGTTTTATTTTTTTTCTGTTTTCAGGCATTTACATTTCTGAAAATGAATTCACTGTTAGTCCAGAGTTTCGTGGTCTAGGAATTCGGATTGAAGACAATATTCTAGTAACAAACTCCTCCCCTGTCAATTTGTCTGAATCCTGTCCCAAGAAAGTCACTGATATAGAAAACCTGTTTTTGAAGTGAAGCATTTGGAACAATGAATCTTCAATTATCAAGAAACTTTTAAGCTCTGTTTTGTAGATCACAGGATGTTATTTTTACTGTTGGGTGATATTGATCATTTAGTAAAAGGAGGTAATTGAAATTACAAATAATTGACAGGTGCTATGTGAGTATAGCTAATGAATAAAAACATAAATATGTTATTTATAATGATGGAGCTTATTGAACTGAGAACAGTTTTATGTATGGCTGTAAAATTCAAAATATGAATCCCTTCAATCATTGATAGATTTTTTTTTTTGCTTTGTTTTAAATTGGAGTTTTTTTTAACATTCAATTTTTTAAACGATCTTTATGTTCTAGGTGAAACTTATGTATGGTATACGTAAACAAAACATAATTTGTTGTGCAACCCAATTACCATAAGATAATTATATACTTTCTTGGTTTTATACTATCTTATGCATATTACAAATAATAGATTTACTGAGCAAGAAATTACTTCTTTGAAAAAATAATTTTTAAAAGTTAGTTTTGTTAGTCTAACATGTTCAAATTAATATTTTTTGTTAGTTATCCAGTTGCATTCCGACAGGGAAATTGGACCATAAATCCATGGTCTTTATAATCGTTTTAAAATAATTTTTTATTATGTCATTACAGCCTTACAGACAAAACATTGTTTTAAGTTTTTTTTTAGTATTGATAGAACTTACAAGAATTGTGGCCATGGGTTGAATTATATTTTTTTGGGTATTGGGATGTGGGTATGTATGAATGTTTTAATCAGTTTAAAGACATCCCTCCCCCCCCCCTCCAGTATTAGTGTTATTTAACTAGCATTATGTGCTTTACACTTGTTTGCCTTTGGTCTCATCTCAGCTAAAACTTTGCCAGCTATATTTTAAAATGGTTTAAAATGCATGTGTGTTCCAGTAAAATTTTAATAAACGACTGCCAAACATGAATAAATATATTTTAAAATATAAATTTTTGTGTTTCAATTATTAAAAAGTATGTCAAGTAGTTACCGTGACACTACTGTAATTAGAAGTGTATGGATTCAAAAGAAGACAGTTCATCTTCCTTTAAAAATATCCTGAAGTTTCAGTAAAGAATAAAAGACATATAACAAATATACAAATAAGACAAGGCATTTGTTATTTTTGACATTATAATCATGTTTATTATTCAATAAACAAACACAACATTTTTTTGTTTTTTTTTCATGTTAAAAGTAACCTTTTCATAATATTCAACACCATATTATGATAATGATGTGAAAAATTGTCAATGAAAGACTTAAAATGATAGCAATTCATATTTGATACAGAAAGTCAAAGGGGAAATAACTTATTACTATTTTAACCTGAACAGTTTTACACCATTTCTAGGAAACAGTCTAGGAATGCAAACTTGGCACAATTTATTTAATGGGATAAATGAAACTGATTTAAAAAAAAAAAAGAAACAATAAACCTACACAAAAAATGTACTTGTTTATTAACTACTTTTATTTTTTAGGAATGGAAAGTTCTCTGTGGAAATTGAGTCAACAAACTCGGAGTCAAGCAGATGTGTTTAACATACACAATATCATCTCTAGTGTTGAAAAACATTTTCATTACATTTTACACAATTTCAGTTGACTAAAACTAAAACAAACCATACTGAAAATTACCTTATGATTTGTTTTGAAAACAAAACTTAAATTGAAAGTTCAAATGTTTTCCTTTTGACTTTGTTAAGGCACATGCACTTGTTAAAATATCAATGCTACAGTAAACTAAAGCAAACACTTCTTTGGAAGCAACACTGACCCCTATTATCAACCATAAATTTACAATGTTTACAAAACCTTTATTTAAAAAAAAATAAAAACTTACTTCACATAAACACACACATACACCTTGAACCATATCTCAACAAAAAAAAAAATGTACTCCACATTAAGGTTTTAACATTTCACCTGTAGTGAGAAGTTTTATGACTGGTATATTATGTACAGGTTTATTATACAAGAAAAGATTTAATCTAAAAATAGAACGTTCATATCCAACCTAGTGTCAGTGTGAAACTGAGGAAAGCTGAAAGTTGGTTCTAAATATTGCAGCAGGACAAATGAGCACAGAATAAATGCTATGACAAAAAGGAGAATTAACCAAAAAATTATATGAATTTATTATTCGTGAAAGAGAAAATGAAAAAAAAAAACGAGTAACGTGGAGACTGATTAAAATCATTTTATCAATGCTTTGAAGCAGATCTTAAAAAGGGGTAAAACTTAGAATTGTATGAACAACTTAAGTTCTAGATTCTAAATTTTTTTCTCTTAAATTGTGTTTCAGCAATGCTATGCTTCTTAACGAAGAAAAAAGTAAATAATTACTTGGTAACTAAAAAAGATCTGATATAACATCTAAAATAAGAACTAACGTCAGTAAAAGAATTGCTATCAATATTTAAAGAAATATTGTCATATAATTTGGTTTATAAAATACACAATATGATGTCAGTGAAATAAATATTTTACTTTATATTTGAATAAGGCAGCTGTCAAAAGAAAACTAAAAAGCATTTCCCAACATATAGAAACTTAAACCGATACATCAAAATTTTTCTTTCAGTAAGAAATTAATGGACAGAGGCACTTAGACCAGCAGAGTATCAGCATTATATTATAGGTCAAGGCCGCGCAGTCTTGTAATACAGCTGTATTGTGTAAGGTTAAGTAATTATGATGGTAGATAAACTATTGATTTAAAATACATTTAATAGTAGTAATTTAGTTGTATACTAGCATTTGGCTGAGTGAATTATTTAAGCATTCTGTTAATATTTGATATAGATTTTATCTCGCTCATGAAAGTTAGTGTAGAAAACATTTTAAATATTTTTACAGTTTATTTAACAATTGAAGGCAAATGGATAAAAATGTAAATTTACAAAATATATTTCTTCACTCCAACCAAACATCAAGACAGGATTCAATAAAGTAATACTATTCATATATATATATTAAAAAAAAACTATTGCCACAGACAGCACATCGGAAGCTTAAAGGTCAGACTGCAAACATGACTACCCAGAGTTTGATATGTACAAGTTACACTGTTTATGGAATGGTGGCTGGCAATGCATCAATGTTGAGAGAATGAGAAGTGTATGAATACAACAATGGCTGTACAAACAAATAGACCTAAACAATGGAATTCTCATAAGTTCAAATTAGCTTCTCTTTAACACAACTTTTGGCACAGACTCGCACACATTTAGTTCAAATTACATTTTTAAAAAAATGAAGTAACTGAAAAATAACAAGTTACACATGAGCAATGTTACACTGTCATGCCTGGCTTATTTATATATTCACAATGGCTGATAGTTTTGAAGAATCAGTTATGCTTGAGTAAGCCATTCCATGCATCACACCCCCCAGTCAAACTTTCTACAACTTTTACAACAAATGGCTGCCTTCTGAAACTGGTACACTACAAGTCCAGGCAATATCAATGTTAACATGAACATCCTTAGCTACCCCTGAAATAATATGGACAATACACTTCCAGGTCACAACCAGTGACCTTACAAATTTAATAAAAAAAAAACAACAACCAGAAGTTAGGAATTAAAATTCTGATAAAAAAAATAAGCAGGCCATTGCAAACTGTTAAAAATTATTCACATAATATGTGGTTTTTAAGTTCTATTTACTAAACTGATTCCTATTTGGTTTATAAAAAAAATGCAAGCAGTATATAGTGTACATAATATGCAAGAACAACACTTAGTTACAAATGTTTCTAAGCTTTTAGTTAATTTAAGCATATTTAATGTGTAAATAGTCAATAGACTTCAGATAGCTGTCCACTAATTTATATTTTAGTTATTCAAACAATTAAGATATGTTCATGTTAAAAGAAATAAAATATTCAAGTTTGTTAGTAAATCTAGTTTCTATTTCCTAGACATGATATATTGTTAAATCAAATAAATTATGGCAAATGTATGCTAAAAGCTAATGTACACTTGATATACTAAAAACAAAACTGTTTAAATATACTATTCTAATATCTATTACACTCCAAACACACTTGAAATAATATCACATGTAATTTTTCTTAATTCCACCTTTAAAACAATCATACAAGTTAGATCATCAATTAAAACAAAAATTTATAAAGAAACAAAAAAAATTCCATAAATTAAAATGAACGCATGTATCTTTTAAATGCACCAAACTATCAGACTAATGCTACATGCTCTGCCACTTGAATCAACATCAACACATGTAACATTATGCAAATGTTTCATTAAAATTCAATGAGTGGGCGAAAAATTATGAATAACCTGGGTCAACAACTTTATAAAATAAGTTTAGTTATCTATGGAAATAAGCTAAAAAACACAGCAGACGGGGATTAAAAAACAAGGCTGGCTTTTTTATATTTTAACTGCAGGTCAATGAGAATGACACGGTGAGTTAAGGTGTCAAAATATTCAGATCGTCTGTAAGGTCAGTGACCTAAGAAGTTCCAACACCAGGTTTCCCTGACACGGCTACACACAGACACCACATTTCTCAGCTCCTGACAGAACTTCATTCCTTGTTCACTGTCCATTTCCCAAACAGAAAAAAACTTTTTTTATTTTTGCGCAAGTTAGATCTCTCTTTCCTTAAAAAAAAATGATGATTATGCCCTGTTAAAAAGATCACAGTTTGCTGTCACATAGGAAACAACCCAACCCACCCCACTTGTCCAGTTTTTGACCAAGGCTATACATTTGAGCAGTCGATTTCCACAATGTTTTTGGGCACATCTGCAAACTGATAGACTAATCTTTGACCATCAACTTTGTTTAAAATACCCCTGGCGTAATAATACCTGTGAAAGAGAATAAAAAAAAAAGTTAAAATAGCAAAGTGTAATCTTATTTAATAACCATAGTACTTTTTAAATATCTTCCAAATACAAATATTTTGTGTGGCACATTCTGTAACATTTCATTTCTAAAATAGTATTTTACATTTGGAAAACGTTTATTGAAAAGCATTTTAAAATAATTTCACAAAGAAAAAAACTTCCACTACCTTAAAGCTCTCCCCATTGTTTCGTAATTCATGTCTGGTTTGTTTTTATGCTGACCCCATAACCGAGAGACAGCTTTTGAGTCAACCAGTTTGAAAATCCCCTTTTCCCTGTTGGTCCACTTGATGTAGTTTGGACACGTGTCTTGATTCTGAAGTAGCTGCAGCAAGAATTCCCACAGGTACTGTGCATTACCTAAGCAACAAAAAAAAAAAGGGTTATTTTTTTTTTAAAGAAAAGTATGCAATAAAAAACAGGATTAGAATTAATTTCTATAAAAAAAATTTGAGGAAATTGAAAGTAGAAGACCAACCTTCTCTTTTTCTTTTAGGAGGTGAACTAATGGGGTAGTCTGGATATTTTGGTTTACGACCTGTAAATAAAAAAAAGGAAGTTATGAACAAATTGATCAAATAATTTAAAATGTATAAATAATTAAATATTTCATTTCCCTGGTTACGACACCTAAGGAAACAGCATAAAAAAAACGTATCACATGTACGTCTATTGCCCTCTGTGACCGCCTGCTCCTAGTGCAGCACCAGTGGAACAAGATCACCAGTCAGGGTGTTAGAGCAATCAAGGGAGATTAGCCAGGGGGGGAGGCGTCTCACGATGTGCACAAGAAAACCGGTGTCCTGCACCCTCATCAAGATGCAGACAACTGGTTCAAGTGTGTTAAAACTTGACAACTACAAGTGGCTACAAATGTGTGTCAGGCCACTGCACTCAGGGGCATCCATGTAGGAACACGGACACTCTTGCCATGAGCATGTACCCTTTCTGTCATTTTCATTTTTGCACTCAAGACAGTTGTAGCTATCCATCATAATTTGTTGCTTTCTTCCCCTCCCACAAAAAAAAATACGTTTGTCAAAACTAAAGATAGTGAGGTTTATTACACAATTTATTTTGTTGTATTTCATTTTTTTAATGTCATTAACCTTAAAATTTAATTAATTGAAATATAAAATTATAATGCCACTATACACATTGTTTTGTCTTTAAGTTGTAATTAAAAACATTTTTTGTTGAAAAATTAGTAAATGGCTTTTTTAACAAGTTGGCCATATCAAAAATGATGTTTGAAATGTGTTTGAGATGTGGGCATGTGTGGTGTTTGAGATGTGTTGAGAAATGAAGATAAACCTGTCAGAACAAAGCACCTAATCAACATCAACATTACCTTTCTTTGTTTTTGGTTTGTCTTGAGGGGTGGGAGCTGGGGTTTCACAGACTGAGGACAAGTTTGAGGAGATGCTGCTGATGTTGTTGACACTGTGGTAACTGGAGGGGCTGTGCTGAACTGCTGTCAATGGGGTTAAATTTGAGCTGCTTTCAAAATGGTCTGGTGAGAGGGAAAACAAATTTGATTCAAGTATACAACCAAGGTAACACAACACATGGTTATTGTGTTGGAGAAGATAAACTTTTATTTTATGGTAGAACTACAAATTTTAAATTCAAAGCACTTGTAAGTAAAATAATAGCATTGTAAGTAAAATCCGATGAATATCAAATCTCTCTCTATATTTTTTTTCATAAAGATTAAAAGATAATATATAATTTCTAAGTAGACGTTTCAGAGTTAAATAGATGAGAATTGATTGACTAGTGACACACAGGGTGAGGTCAGTGACAAGTCTAAAACATGTACAGGTAAGTCTGCTAGTCTGGAGCACCTACCTGGCCTCATGGCTATGTGTGTGGCTGTGTTGAAGTGGGCAGGTAGCGGCTGATGTGCAGGGGGTGGTTGATAGTATGGGGAGATGAAGCTACCAGCTGTTGACTTACTCAAACCATTGGCTGAGGAGGAGAAAACAAATTAAATAAAACTACTGCAGAACCTAAAGCATCATAATAGACAAATATACACCATAATTGTCATCTTAAATGATGGGTGTTGTATTATAGGGTAAGTATATTCCAAAATTTAATTTAACTAGAAAGTTTATCGGTCCTTTAATGCACTTAGTTGTTGTGTATGCCAGAAAATACAGGATTAAAAAAAAAAAAAAAAAAAAAAAAAAAAAAAAAAAAAAAAAAAAAAAAAAAAAAACCATAAAAAATAACAACCCAAAACCACTGGAGCTAATCGCACCATTTCAATATATTTTTGTCTCAGCTGGTTTGACTTAAGAGTTGTCTTAAGTATCAGCAAAGGTTTGATGTGTGCATCTGTTACACAAGATGTGTATACTATTTGTTTTTGACCCCCATTAAACCAGAGGACAACTACCAACACAAACCATAGTTTCAACTGTTTGTTAATTCTGTCATCACAGTCCATTTTAAGTATCTATTGTACCTACAGTCAACCAAGCTAATAAAAATTGAAGTATCCACCAGGAAGAGTTGATATTTACTAGACAAATTCTCATGTTTTATCAGTTTATCTGTCAAGTATTTGAAGCCTGATTATCTTTTTACACCTACAGACCAGTCCGGGATATGGTCAGACAAACATGTCGGGGCATGTAGCTTACACTAACCAATCTATTTATAGCAGACCAGTGAATCAGGAAGTATATCACAGCTACACAGAGATAGTAAGAAATGTACCATAATAAAATGTACATTAAATTACACAGACCAAACTTTGCATTACAAGGAGGGCCTATGGTAGTTATCATGGGGAATATGACAGAAGGTCTTCAACAAGAGCAGCTTATCAGTCAGTGATAAATGCTACAGGTTGAACTGTTGAACTTTTGACCGTTACCTTGATGTCTCTGTTTGGGGTCATCTATAGAGCTTGTGTCCAGTTCACTGTCCAGGCCACTGTCTGGGCTTGGTGGGAGAGAGGCTGTGAAGGAAAGAAAAAAAAATTTATGAAGCTTGCAACAAGAAATTATTTTCACTGTATTAAAAAAATAAGTCTGTCCATAAAACAACCACAGACACCATACGATAGTGAGATATGATCTACTGAAACGTGTGTAAGTTCTAACAAAAGCAATAATAACAGCAAACATTTTTTTTTCCATGGAGACAGAGACACAAGTAAACAGGTTTTATTCTGTACCAAATACATTTTAAAGAAAACAGTTTCTTAATGCATAAAGCAGAAGTGCTTGCACTTAAACTGCCATCAGCGTGTCAAAGCTAGTAGGTTTTACTTAACTGAAGCTATAATAAAAGAACATTGAAATATATCAAGATTCCGGGTGAGGGAGGAGAAGAAGAAAAAAAATAAACGACAGTAAAGATAAATGGAACATTAGGTGGGTTGTAACTTGCTGCACATTGGTACACCAAAGTACCTTCATCGTGGATAATGCAAGCTCTTAGTACAACATTCACCAACATAAAGGAGAAAATAACGCGTAAAAACATTTTGTTGTTTAGGGGGGTTGGTGTACACGTGGGTGGGGGGGGGGGGGAGCGGGGAGTGAATCTTGTTTATGATACCTGCTGTCTTCAAGCCATTTACAATCTTCAACCCACCTCGTGCGAGTCAGGGGGAGGGGGGAAATCGTGGGGGTGGTGGCAAGGGGAAGGAAAAAGGAAGAAATTATCGATTTGTTCAGCCGCTTGTCGAAGTCTCCTCTTCCCTCCCAAGTACATTTTTAGACCGCTCGTGTTTTGTTGTCAAGGGGAAGCAACAAGAATGCCACGGATAGTTTCCCCTTGAGCCCTACATCGTTAATAACCAAAGTGGAAGTAGAGAGTATTGATCCAAGGAGAGGCGGATTAAAGATGTGTGCTATCTATAAAAAAATACTTCCTCGGGCATAAGACAAACCAGATTTTTGTTTGTTTTAATGTTGTGGGAGAAGGGAGGGGGGGGGTAGATAACAGAGAAACGGTCTTTAGCAGACTTGTGATACTAGCAATCAGTGAGCACTACTAGGTATACACGAACTTACTACACCGACCTATATTAATCACGTGCACAAACGATGACAACCCACGTATGATATGCAATAGTACGAAACGTAAGACGTTTCATCGATCTAGGGACGTACTTAAGTATTTTCGGCTCAGTTCAAAGAGGCTACAGTAAATCGATGTGACCCAAACGGCCACGTCAGAACCACACCGGGACTACTTCTACTTTGTGTTCTAAACCAAATACATCAGCTTTTTAAAAAACACTTCGCACTTTATCATTGCATATAAAAAAATAACTAAAAAAATCATATTTCAATTACATTAAATATGCATAACAGGCTGTAGATGACGCGGATTAAGTAACAGCAAAACGGCCTAGGTTAAAACTGTGGCTGCCGATGTTAAAAACTGTGGCCAGATCTTATTTTAGCTCACACGCCATACCACCCCCCCCCCCTCCACCCCAATTTAAACTGCATTAAGTTTCTTCCAATAAACGAGAGCTGACTGAGTGTTTTGTTGGCAAGGAAATTTTAACTAATTAATTACATTGTCTGGTTGGGTGGGTGGGTGAGAGGGGGGGGGGAGGTTAAAAATAAAACCGTTTTTCTTTATGTACGTAAATGTTCTTTAGAGAAACTCTTGATTAAAATGAATTATACAAAACAAATGTTCTAATAACTTTGCATTATTTTTTTATTATACTAAACAAAACAAAACTAAATTTTAAAAATTAAATAAAAAAGCCCGAAATTTATACTGCACTTTTAAAAGTGAAGTGTATTTTGACAATCCTTCGACTCAACTTCTAAGCCCTAAAAGTGTATCGCTAAGTCCCACCAATTTTGTCAATGGCAAGCGAAAATGCGCATGCGTGAAAAGAGTGAGATACGAATATCGAACACACCTCAACAACGACAGACCACATGAGTGTTGTACCACGTGACTACATGGTGTGTGTGTGTGTTTAAGATGCGATCAGAGGATAATATCTAGTTAAGCTTACATTTAACATCAAATTTAATGCAACATTAACTCGGCCATTTCATGCCGCAAAGCATCCCTTTAAAAAAAACCTACAACAAAGGACGCCATTTGAGTCTATTTGAGTCACGTGATTGCTTGGCTCAAGATAATTTGACTTCAGATTTATTCGGGGAATAAAACTCAACAGACTCTTACAGACGATATCAAAACCAATTTTATTTCTTGTTGAAATGAAAACGATCACGTTCTATTAAAAAAAAACAAACTAAAATGGCTTAAGTGAAATGGGGGAGAAAAAAAAATAGGTTATATGGAGTGAAAGGAGGGGAGGGTAGGTGAAGTTGATGAGAAACGTGGAGGCAGACAAGAGAAATCTTTATTGCACAAGACAATAACCTTAAGACGACGACACGCGTAGATATGACAGCAGTTAAAGCGGCCACAGGAAGGAAGCTTTTATCGATTTTTCGTTCTTGTTTCTGGAAATAATTCCCCCCTCCCTATCTTCTTCCTATTGTTTGTTTCCTCGCTAATTTTCTATCCAGATTTTTAAATCTTCAAGAGAAGAAAAAAATTGGATGAACTACTTGTCTACGATCCACCGTGACGTCCAGACCTGTCTTAAAGCCAGGCTCAAGAGCTGTATCGTGAGTCTTACACAACCCGCCACCCCTCAAATCGGCACAATCGACTCGACCAAATACCAGTATAAACATGTTAATTAACTCCCTTAAGAACGGAGAAAAGAGAGGGAGAGGGGGGTGGTAGGGTTGACAGACAGACGAGAGGCTGGCGAGTCGTTGAGTCGAATATCGTGGTTGTTGACCTACAGCAGACTAACCTTTTCCATCGGATGCTACAATTATGGCTGTCTGTCTGGAAGAAATGCTTTTAAGCCTCCAAGACTGACATATAGGAAACGCGAGTCGCCGAAACAATGAAGCGGCCCAGCCTGCATTAGGCCGAGAACACTGACGCAATTTGTAAGTTTCTATGCGACTAAACAACAGACACGATATTTTTGGTTTCCCGAGGGAATTTTTTTTTTCCTTCTGCCTTTTAAAACGGGAATTTATTTGGTTTGAAAAAAAAAATGGTTTAATGAAGGGAAAATAGTCCAGACATGTATTAGTGTAAAAAAAGCACGAGACAGACATTTAACATGAAGCGTTATAATGACATTATGTGTACTCACACACATATATGTTTAGAGTTGATAATTTGTATTTAAAAACCAAATAGTGAGAAGATTTAACAGTGTATGGGACAGAATATCTTAGGTGCACAAAAGTAAATACACACCCACACACAGTGACAAGTGCATAGAACCCAATTGAAACGCTGGTTGTTGGTGCTTTAGTTAGACATGTGTAGTGTCACCATGTAGAGCAGAGAAGCTGTTCCATACATAGAGTTGGGTGGAGACTGTGTTGTAATATAGTGAGAATACAGGTGCTGACAGGGTAGGGAGGCTGTACCCATAGTGTAGGGAGGATGTACCCACAGTGTAGGGAAGCTGTACTCACAGTCTAGGGAAGCTGTACCCACAGTCTAGGGGGCTGTACCCACAGTGTAGGGAAGCTGTACCCACAGTGTAGGGAGGCTGTACCCACAGTGTAGGGAGGTTGTACCCACAGTGTAGGGAGGTTGTACCCACAGTGGAGTGAGGCTGTACCCAGTGTAGGGAGGCTGTACCCAGTGTAGGGAGGATGTACCCACAGTGTAGGGAGACTGTACCCACAGTGTAGGGAGACTGTACCCATAGTGTAGGGAGGCTGTACCCAGTGTAGGGAGGTTGTACCCAGTGTACTAATGATGACTGTTCCCACAGTGTACTAAGGATGACTGTACCCACAGTGGAGTAAGGCTGTACCCAGTGTAATTAGGCTGTAACTACATAAGAGGGAGGCTGTACTCAGTGGATTGAGGATGTACCCATAATGTAGGGAAGCTGTACCCAGTGTAGGGAGGCTGTACCCAGTGGAGTGCTGATGTACCCACAGTGCATAATCAGCTCGTACCGACAGTGTACAGAGACTGCTAGCACGGACCGGACCGTAGCCCGGCCGTCCCTACAGTGAAAGACAAACCTACCATGGTGGTTGTGGTGCTGCTCATGCAGGATGCCCTGTAAGAACGTCTTGGCCTCCGTCCCCGTGCTGGGCGAGTCCATGCTGAGCAGGGCCTCGGCTGCCATCTCTCTGCCTCGGCCATCTTGGGACTGCTCGCATGCATCTACTGCAAACAGAAACAAAAAAACATACACTTTAAACAACGCCTACTTATACACGCTGGTTAAATCGTCACCGTCTCAGGAATCTGCCAGCTGGAACATACATTTAAAATGACCGTACAACATCTTTATTGATCATGTCTGAATTAAACACAAAGTACATCATTAAAAAAACCACACCATCTTTCATCATATTTCTGACCCCCCTTGTTACAACATGTCAGGTTGATGATAACAAATTTGTTTTCCACGCCAGGATTTATAAGACTGCCGAAATAAAATAAAAATGTCGTACGTGCACTTTTAAAAAAGTGTTACAATGGAAAAAGGAGCCCCCCTCCCCATCTGGGTTAAAAATAGCGATCGATATCCCCCCCCCCCCTCCCTTATTTCCTCCCCTTGTCTTATTTAGCAGAGCCTTCACGTCAGAGCTAAATATGGAAGTCTTCGGATTGTCGCGGCGTGCTGGTGAAATAAACCAGCCACGGTGTCACAGCAAATATGACCACCAGCGCGGGAGAGCGCCGACCGAAATAACGCCCCTAAGAGCTAACACTTTTTTTTTTAGCTTCTCAACCAGAGGGCGCTAGGAGGGTGTTGCGAAGAGGAGAAAAAAAATTGGTGATGAGTCGAAATGTGTAGATCAGCCACTGAGTTGTGTGTTAAGATGTGGAGCTAGTGTGGGAAATCCACATCTAGAACCCCCCCCCCCCCCGCCTTCTTTCCCTATACTTGAGCCAATATTTACCTAGCAAGGGGGAGGGGGTGCAAACAGTAAACCGTCCTATACCACTTGGACAAACTGTCCTTACATGGCTGAGTAAATAAACGTGTGCAGTTGCGTGAAAAAAAAGGGATGTGTATGATGGGGGGGGGGGGGGGGGGGGGGTGGGGTTCGTTTCAGGCAGATGATATAAAACAATGCATTTATCTAATATATGTATTGTTTGAATGTTAAGTGCAAAACCAACATGTTGGGTACTATTTTTTTGGTCGTTGCCTCTTTTTGTTCTTAATAGACTTAGGCTTTAAAACAAGCAAACAATAGGTTGAGAAAAAAATATATTTCTATGTGTGTTTGTACATAGTGTTCTTTGAAACCTGTTACATCTTGTTTTAAAAAATTAACCCCCCCCCCCCCCCAAAAAAAAAAAAACAAATTAAAAAAAAAAAGCAAAAAAAAAAAAACCCGAAGGTCTAGTTAAAAAAACCACAAGATGCGCCACGCATGTAAATGAATGTAGCGTGCAAGCACGACACAATGAATGTGACAGCTATGTGCGACACTAGATCACCCATGACAAAGACATTAATGGGATGAATACTTCCACGTGGAAGTTTTAAAAAAAAAATATTGCAGCCTGTTGCGGCGGAATTTGAAATAAACAGCTTGGCGGATGAGGGGATGCGGAGTGGAGGAACTATTTTTAAACTTCCTGAGGAAATATATTTTTGATGAGCCCCATAAAGCATCTCAACGCGCACTGTTGCTGTAATTAAGGGCCCTATATATATATATATATATATATATATATATATATATATATATATATATATATATATATATATATATATATATATATATCAGTGGCCCACCAACGTGATCTTGAGTTAAGCCCAAAATGTTGTACAGTGCAACTGTTGCTGTAATATACATCAGTGGCCCACCAACGTGACCTTGTGTTTTGCCCAAAATGTTGCACAGTGCAACTGTTGCTCACAACATCGAAAGGTGACGGCTGGATGGACGTGATAGGACGTAGTGGGGACGGGATCGATGGGTTGGTGGCGAAAGGCGATCTTTCAGCTCCAACTTTTCTCTCCCCCCCCCCCCCATCCCCACAAAGAAACCACACACCACAATTTTCTCCTATGCAAAAAAAAAACTTCCCTCACTCAACCATGTCATGTGAAATCAAGATGCATGTGTCTACATTCTACTCACAGTAGCGCTTCATTAAGCCCTTCTTGAAGGTCCCTTTCTGCCTGGCCGATGGGCTGGTGGAGTCAGTGAACAGATTAGCGTCACTGACGTCGTTATTGGGACCACCGCTGGACACGCTTACATTGTCCGCCACGGGCGAGAGCTGGGGGTGGTGTCGGAACCCCGTGGGGGTCGGGGGGACCAGGCAGTGCTTGTCATCGTCGTAGCCGAGGCTCGTGCTCCTGGCTGCTCTCGCGTGCATGTCCCGCTGGCACTCGGTGAACTCGTCCACGGGCTCGTCCTTGACACCCACGGGGATGGAGCGAGAATATTGGCCATGTTCAAGGAAGCGATCATTCGGTGAGTGCAGCATCAAAGGACGGGGCGCCCTCCCTGGGTCGCCCCGGGACCTAACCCCGAACTCGCCGCTGGATAACAATTGTCTTTCTAACAAACTAGACTTGGGGGCGGAGTCTTGGTTCGTGTAAGAACCGGAAGTGTCGTAAGACGGAAAGCTAACTCTGGAATGCGGGTCTTGTGAATGGCGACAAGTCTCTTCATCAACACTCATCCGACAAAATGGCCTTCCTTTTAAGCGATCTTCTTCCGCTAGTATGTGACCAGTACCGGGTCTATTTTTCTTGACGGAAAGATCCAAAACAGGAAAACAAGTCGAAGCGGCGGGGTACTGCCAGACTCCGTTACTAAAAGATTCACCGGGGAATGAAACAGAACTGCTGCTGGGCACTTCTTGGGGCATGGAGGCATACGCCGGCGTAGACAGGCACGGGAATTTAATGGCACTTTGGCAATGAAACGTTGGTGTCAGCGGCATCAACGGCAAGGCATGGCTCCGATCCGGCGAGGAGCGGATCTGCGGAAAAACGGTGAGCAAGGAAGGTGGTGGAATCGGTGAGCTTTGACCGGGAATGTGGGGGTAGCCCTCCTGGAACCTGAGGAGGGGCGGCACGGGGAGGTAGCCAGAACAGACCGTCGAATGGGCGCTCATGGTGCTCTATCACAGTCAACACATCACAGAGGATCTCTCCAAGACATATCACAGTTCATTGAGCCGAGGGGGGGTCAACACGGGCATGTAGCTTCGGCACTTGGGAACACCAGATATCACATAACGGTTGAGCAAACAACATTTAACATTGTTTTTTTTAATCACGTGATATTACTTTATATTAACTTCCTGTAGCATTGATATAATGTTCATACAGGAAAAAAAAATAATTCCATCAACTAAAAAATGTTTTGAAAAAGTCAATTAAAAATAAATCCTTTGAAGAATGATTATAGTTCAAGTACGCCACTACTGTTATTGTGTGGGCGGGCCAAAATGGCAGTCACATTATGAATTTAGTTCCAGAAATAATCAAACGCCTAGTGTGAACATTTCCTAAAGAATCAACAGCTTTATCAGTCCTTTCCATTTTTGTCTACAATTCTATAATAAACAAAAAATATGAACTTAAGTTCTAATTTGATATAGGATGTAGCTATTTTGAAAATCACTCACAATTATCCAAGAAAACGAATTAGGATACGCGCGGAAAACACACAAACTACCCCGACCTTTAGGATATACTTGAAGTACACACAACAGGATATAAGACGAATAAGGTTAAGATGAGACCCCCACACAAGACTCCACGCCGCCGCTCCACACAAGTCGAGGGGGAGACGACGACAATTAAACTTCTCTGTGAACCAAGACAGACACCAACTTTAGGCTTGCAGACAAAAAACCGCAAGACGCCAGCCCTCGTGAAAGTAGAAATTCATCTGACCAAGATGATGACTAATGGTAAACCAAGAAAAAGAAATATCATTTCCTCCTTGTCATATCAATTCTCCCATCCTTGTTGGTAAATTTGGTATTTCTTTAAAAAAAAAATGCGCCTTTTTTTTTGCCAGCTAATACAATTTTTTTTTGCGTTCGAATTTAGTAAATAAAAGACCGGAAACCAACAAACTAGGAACTGAAGAGTTAACAAAAGCTAATCTAAAAATACACCAGCCGAGTATGGGGTGTGTGGGGGCACTTGGAGAAGGATGGTTTACTTACTCCTGATCAAAAATGGCGAAACTATCATGTGACCGCGAAACTTTGGGCCAAACCTTGGAAAACACATCCAAATGATTACACTTCCTCCTTCGTCCTTTATTACAATACACAAGCCCCGGCTACCACTCAACAACCCGCCTCTTAAACCACGAAAAAAAGCACCGTTAAAACGCTATAACAAAGTGGGGATTAAGGTTTATAAAACTGGGAGTCAGGACTTGCCTGAAATGTTAGAAATAAAAACGTCTAATATTGATCGCCGTAGAGTAAACATACACTACTCTAATCAGTGAGAGGATATGTATTGAATGACATATAAACCAACACAAAAACAAATCCCCGCCCACCTTCACCCTATCCTACTTCAGATCTACGCACACACGTACAACGCTGACTAGCCCAGCAAGTACACCAGGCATGACTGAAGTAGCAAACAACACAATAGAATAGCTGTTTTTTTCAATTGTTAATGACATTTATTTACGTACGCAACACTTCATACGTATTTCCGAACAGGACGAGACGGAAATAAAAACTGAACGATCCACTGAGGGTTAACAACAGAGCGATGAATCTCTGAGTGCATGTGAGTTTACTTAACGCTGGGTGTGTGTGTGTGTATGTGTGAGGGGAGGGTAGAGTAGGCCGAGATTGTCACTTTTTAAAACATGTCGGATTCCTGACTCCATAACACTTTTGAATATTTATAAAAAAAAATTTAAAAAATCAATAAATGGAAATCAGGCGGTTAGAAAACGTTTGATTCCAGGCGGCAGACTAGCACTGACACGACAAAGTTCAATGACTGCCATGTCACATGACCAACAGTAACCCATTTATGTGGGTACACAACCGCTCTTGAAAAAAAAACACTTATCGGTACGCTCTTCAGCATATCTACTGACACTGGTCTAAATATAACCTATTCATGTACTGATACATGCTTCATAGTTAAGCCAAAAAAATATATATGGACTGGTGGTAGCCAGGAAGTAAAATATAACTAC